AAGTCAGAACAAGATTTGCTAACAACAATAATTCTTAGATATCACTTATGTTTATCTTTGTGTTTTCCCTTGACCTAGTATTTCCTTAGCATGATATCTTGCTTTATTAAGACATAATAGTGTTTGTTAAACACTATATGTGGGGCCTCAACAGCATCAGGAAGAAAGCAGAAGCAGGGAAGCAGGAGCAGAGAGGACAGTCTGATAGTTCGATGTTGTTCTCTGTGTTCCTGTTGTTGCAATAAAACTCAGCTGATCATTTCCACAGAGTACCTTCATTCTTGGACCACGTATTCCTGTCTTTGTTAAATGAATATTTCCATAACAGTTGGCGTTGTCACAGGGCCCACTAGGAGATTGACAGACCAAGGCCACATCGCATGTGGACTGATAGGAGTAAGCAAGGACTGCTCAGGACTGTGACTCCACCTGGATGAAAAGAACCTTTTTAACAACAGAAATATGCTGGAGACCACAGACAATGATGGATGATCTTGAATAAGCAGAGAACATTGGATTTAATTTTTTGCTGTTGAAGAACTTGAAAAGATTTTGAAACATCAACTGCTGAGAGTGAGTACAGAAAAGCTTCAAGATGCCTCCTTTCTTGCCAGCTTCTCCAAAAGCTGACYGTGTTGGAGCTCAAAATTCATCGTCTAGAAGAGAWGAATGCTTTGGAGAACTCAACATGTGTTCAAATGGGTGAGAAGGATGAGATGAAAAATCCACAGGACGAGGAGATGGGAGCTGCTTCTGAGGGTCAAACTGTATAGAACTTTATTTGTGCCAGACCAAAAAATCTCTCAGGAAGGATTTAGCTCTTAGATGATAACGAATGGCCAGAGTTACAGAGAAATACTTTTTCTCAACCAGCAAGGAGAAGAATGCAGCAACAGGCTGGAATCAAAACAACWGATAARGGCCAGAGAAATGAAGACGGAGCACACTTCCTTCAAAACAGATTCACACCACWGGAAGAAACTCATGAGTCTGAACAAAGTTTACTATCTGATCTCAGAGAGGGACCTGAGACCKGATCCAGCTCAAAGCCAAAACAAGTCCAAAGAGAGACTTTCAAGAATCAAGAAATGTTGATTATCACAGARAAAATGGTGAATGAGATCAGAGGTTTCTGGAACAAGAAAAAAYTCAAAGTTCTGAGTTTTGCTGATAAAGTGTCTGACCTCACAGAGAAGATTCTGGAAATCACAGTTGAGTTTCCAGTTCTGAAGATGCTCATTATTCATACAGGAAATGATGACGCTATGAACCGACTGTCAGAAATCCTGAAGAAGGATTTCARTCAGTTGCTGAATGCAGTTAAAAATCTCAACATGGYTGTATMGATCAGTGGACCAATCCCTACAGCCCGAGGAAATGCTCAAAAATTCAGTAGGCTWTTTGCCCTTAATGGTTTTTTGGAAAAGTCCTGTGCTGACCACTCTGTGAGATATGTGGATAACTTTGATCTCTTGTGGGAACYAAAACATCTGTTCAAGTCTGATGGACTGACTGAATKAAAATGGAGCACAACTTCTGGCTTCCAACATGAAGTATTATCTGAACCAAGTTCCTGGAAACAAACAGCGGGAGAGTGATCAGCTGACGTCTGAAGGACAGCTGGAGCGAACTGAGACACAGATGGAAAACAACGTGCAAGTTACTGATAAGGAGACTTCTGCAGAATCAGCCTCACAAACAGAGGATCTGGAAAATTAGTTTCCCCAAACTGCAACAGGAGAACAAGACCCCACTTTCTTTACCCCAGGAGACCTCAAACCTTCTTCCTCCGAGACCCCAACAGGACAGCAAGTGGAATGCACCCTCCTGGATTTTACTAACAACATGGCAAAACTTGACAAGATTAGAATCCAACAAACACCGTGCCCAAATCCACGTAACCCTCATCTTCCAGTCTCTGGCGTTAAACCAGCCACTAGGAAAATTTGCAGAGCCCCACCACCCCCTCTGATTCTTCCATATATCAAAACAGACAAGCCTGTTTGTGTTCAAGATGATCCAAAGACTTTTGTGTAATAATTATGTTTTGGGGTTAGTAATTACTGTGGGTGAAATAAAAACAGAATTACTGGGGTTGGGATTTTAGAAAAGTACATATACTTAGTTTTGTGTTGACATATTTTTTAATCTATTAAAGAGTTGTTTTGTTGTTTTATTGATCATTTAATTGATCATTAAATGATTAGATGGGGTAATGTGGAATTGAAACAATAATTTTAGGTTGAAGCCAATAATTCATGACATACTTTAATGACCTAAGTTTTCATGACATGCTGTTTATCAGCAGAGAGAATGATTAAAGTCAGAACAAGATTTGCTAACAACAATAATTTTTAGATATCATTTGTGTTTATCTTTGTGTTTTCCCTTGACCTAGTATTTCCTTAGCATGAAATCTTGCTTTATTAAGACGACATAATAGTGTTTGTGAAACAGTATATATGGGGCCTCAACTGCATCGGGAAGAAAGCAGTAGCAAGGAAGCAGGAGCAGAGAGCAGTGGGGATAATCTGATGGCTCAATGTTCTCTGTGTTCCTATTGTTGCAATAAAATTCAACTGATCATTTCCACGGAGTTTGTTAAATTAATATTTCCATAACAATTTTATGTAAAATCCTTCTTTGCAACATCATCCCCAGAGATTCCACAGTCATCCATAGAACAGAACCAGCCTTCTTTATCAGGTTGTTTAGTCTTTATAGGTCKCTGACTCTGATGCTGCTGTCCCCAACAGATAATGGCAGAAGAGACGAAGCTCTCAACAACAGACTTATAGAAGATCTGCAGCATCTTTCTGCAGACATTGATGCGTCTTAGCTTCCTCAAGAAATACAGTCTGCTCTGTCATTTCTTGTAGACTGCTTCACTGTTGAGTCTCCAGTCCAGTCTGTTGTCCAGATGAACACCGAGGTATTTATATTCCTCAACCACCTCCACTTCCTCTCCCAGGATAGAAATAGGGTTTGACCTAACAGTATTTCTCCTGAAATCTACAATCATCTCCTTTGTTTTGTTCACATTCAAGATGAGATGATTGTTCCTTGTTTATTCCACTTTAGGTGACCACTAAACACACCACGCTACAAAATGGTCCACCAGCTCTCTGTACTCTGCTTCCTATCCATCTCTGATARACCCAACAACTGCAGGGTCATCTGAGATTTTCTGTAGYTGACAGCAGTCTGACTTGTGCTGGAAGTCTGAAGTGTACAGTGTGAAAATGAATGGTGAGAGCACAGACCCCTGTGGTGCTCCTGTGCTGCTGACCACCTGGTTAGACACCCAGTCTTTCAGTCTCACAAACTGTGGTATATTGGTCAGGTAGTTTTAATCCAGGTGATTGTTGAGGCCTCCATCTGTGTCTTCTAGAGTTTCAGACAAGGAAAATCAGAGTGAATTTTGTTAAATGCACTGGAGAAATGAAGGAAAAATGATCCTCACAGTGCTGCCTGCTTTGTCCAGATGACAATGGGCTTGTTGAAGCAGGTGTATAATGGCATCTTCAACTCCAACTCCACGGCGATAAGGAAACTGAAGGGTGTCCTTATGTGTGCTTGTTTGCTTAGGTGGGTCAACAGGAGTCTCTCTAGGACCGTCATGATGTGGGACGTCAGGGCAACAGGTCTATAGCTGTTGAGGGCTGACTGGTGAGTTTTCTTTGGTACTGGAACCAGACAGGTTGTATTCCACAACACTGGAACCTTCTCTTGAGTCAAGCTAAGGTTGAAGAAGTGTTGCAGAGAACTGATAGAACATAGAACTGATCTACACAGGCCTTCAGGACTCTGAGGCTGACATCATCTGGACCTGCAGCCTTGTTCTGGTTCATTCTCTCTAGCTCCCTCTTCACCTGACTTCTAGATACAGAAAAGTGGGAGTGGGAGGCAAAGGGAGCAGCAGCATCTCCTGGTTTGGTTAAAGACAACTTGTGGAAGTAGAAGAATCCATGACTGAGGTAGAAGATAAAACATCTGAGGTTTGACAGGAAAGCTGTTGGTCAAATGAATGTTGGATGTCTGTTTGGCTGGGAGACATTGGGAAGATGAGCTTGTTCCTGAGCTAAATCTGTTGAAGAATGTGTTCAGCTCATTTGCTCTGTCCAGACTTRCATCCATCCAATTCTTCTTTTGCTTGAAGCCTGTGGTCTTCTTCATCCCTTACCACAAATCTCTGATATTGTTCCTTTCCAGTTTACTCTACAGCTTCTTTCTCTACACGTCCTTGTTGTCTCTGATCTTGACTTTGAGCTGGTTCTTTATGCTCCTCAATAACTTCCTGTCTTGCTCCCTAAAGGCTCTTTTTCTTGTTTAACAGTTCCTTTAGCTCACTGGTGATCCAGAGTTTGTTATTAGGGAAGCATCTCACTGTTCTGGTGGGGATGGTGTTGTCCACACAGAAGTTTACAGTAAATATTCAGTCACATACTCATTCATGGCWTTTATGTCATCTCCATGTGGCTGGCAAAGGGCAATCCAATTTGTAGTTTTAAAACAATCTTGTAGGGCTTCTTCAGCTTCCTGTGACAATTTTCTCACAGTCCTTGTAGTTAATAGTTGTCTCTGAACAAGTGGTTTATTTTCTGAGCAGAGACAAACAAGGTTGGGATCTGAATTACTCAAAGGAGGTCTTGCATTGGAGATATATGAATCTTTATTATTTGTCTGAAACAAATCTAATGTCTTGTTTTCTATAGTGGAGCAGCTGACAAGCTGTTGAATCCCTGGCAGAGTAGTACAGAATGCGGCATGATTAAAATCACCAGATATTGCAATAAATGCATCGGGGTATTGTGCCTGTTTCTTAACAACAGAACTGATTATATCACATGCATTGATGGCAACAGCTGAGAGTGGAATGTAAACAGTAGCCAAAATAACACTGCTGAACTCTCTTGGTAAATAATGTGGACAGAAACGTACTAKCAGGAGTTAAATGTCAGGGCTGCAATGATGACACTTCACAGTAACATGTCCTGGATGAAACCATCTGTTGTTGATGAGCACTGCTAATCCACCTCCTTTCTTTTTCCTGCTGCTCTTTAAATCTCTATCTTCTCGTATATTCTGAAAGCCTGGCAGAGACACATTTGGAGTTGGGGATATGATCTTGCAGCCATGTCTCAGTGAAACATATAATACTGCATTCCCTATACTCTTGCTGAGTTCTTGTCAGGGTTTGAKGTTCATCTAAATTGTTAGCTAACAATCTCATGTTGATGGAAGAGATGGTTTGAACTTTCCTCTTTTCTCTCACCTCTTTGCTCCTGCTCTGCATCCATGATGCCTCGTTTTCAACTCCTCTGGGATTTGGGGCTTCAGATGTGGTGTTATTTCAGATCATGCTATATTAATAAGCTACTCCCTGTTGTAAACCACCCTGTTGCTTTGGTTATGCATCATAACAAAGAGTAAAGTATAAAAAAGTATAGGCAAAAATGAATTCAGCTGCACAGCATCCAAAACAAAAATGAATGGCAGTCCAAAAAAGCAACTTTTTCCCCAGAAAGGCAGAAATGAATGCCCAATAAGAAAAGAAAATCTCAGTGAAAGGAACAGAACTATTCCAACGTGCTGCCACCCTGAGCTGGCACAATTTTACAATTCTAGAACATTTTCAGGTCAGGTTTTTATTCTTCCTTCCTTTATTTTTCCTATCTTCCCATTCCTCTTCTCCCTCCATAACTAGCTTCAATTTCTTGCAGCTTTATTCCTTCTCAGTGCTTTGTTTGTCAGCCAATTGTGCCATCTGGTTGGCTCACCCTTGGCCAAAACCGTGCTGAGATCTGTCATGCAAAGATAACAGATTGGGGAGTCCCAGAGATGTTTTTTTTTTACAAGACTCTTTAAAATCAAAGCACCATGAAAGAAGCTGTTGTGCAATAGTGTCTGAAGGAYCGATGGGACTAGAAGGGTGAGGAGATCGTACCTCTTGCAATCCTCAGCACTCTCATGATGCGGATAATGGTTGGGTTGATGGGCAGTGAAGCGTTGACCTCAATCTCCTCCAGAGTAATGCCCATGATGGACAGCAACACAATGGCCAGATCCAGCTGGTTCCACCTACACATATGCACATATACAATCATCTGAATCTAACAACAGCTTATATTGCCTGAAATTMTCTATAAGTGTGAGTCATTGTAAGAGCAGACCACAAAACAAAATAACCAACACATAWTTTGAGTCCTAACAGATTGTGAAGTGGTGGACAATATGGGTTACAAATTTAATTTCCTGTGGACTTTACCTGCAGAATTTAAAAGTCATAAAGACAAAGTCTGCTGCCCATTTATTATGAGCTGGCTTTTAATTGTTGATTTTTGCATGTTTTATTTTTATCTGTGCTATGTATCTTATGTGTTTTGATTTTACTGTATGATGTAAAGCACGTTGTAACTGTGTTTTGAAAGGTGCTATACAAATATAAGTATTATTATATTATATTATTTCTTACAGACCTTAAATATTTAAAAGAGATAATGACTACAACAGAAACTACATGTATTTTATATTTCATAATTTGAAATAAAAAAATAACTAGAACTGCAAAGCAGTTATGACTGGGGTCCAACCCCGTTTATGCCAGTCTAATTTGMCTCATGTTGTTTCCAGCAACCTGTCAATCTTGTGTACCACAAGATCAACAGGTTGATGGGGAGTTTTTATAARGCCTGTTTGAGGGCCAATTTGCTACAGCATCTGTTGAGCTCCTTCTCTATGAGTATGCCTATAAATGGTTCTCATCAATTTAAATTTTACTAAATGTGTGTCTCCATTTCTGGTTCCAATGCACTTTTGGATCTACCTGTGCCTGTAGTTCCAGGCTAGTCAAATCAAGTATTGAATGTACAATGGAGAAGGGACTTTTGTGAACTTTGGTCCTAATTAAGGGACTTTGTAAATATGGGCCCCATGTAAAGCATTGACAAATATAGGTGTATGTGTCCACATAAAGTGGGAAAATTAGTATGTATTTGTAACCTTGTAAAGGAGAAAGTCAAGAGTGTGTGCATGTGTACTTGTATTTGTTCCTTTGTGTTGACTTATTTTGCCAGATTTCCCCAGAACACAGAGCCTTTTGAGGACTCACACTGAATGTGTATCTATGCTTGGTCTCCTAACGTGGAGTTGGATGGAAATCAGTGACTGTCCTCATGAGATAGTTAAACAAGCATGTGTGTGTGTGTGTGTGTGTGTGTGTGTGTGTGTATTCATCCTTATTCCTACAGGCTTCAAAATTATAAAATAACATAAAATTACTAGATTATCAATAAATTCTGAAAATATTCAGTAATGACTGGCTACACATTATGTACATTTTTTAAAGCCCCTCTGGTTCTAACTTTTCCATTGAAAAAAATGTAATTTTACATAGTACATTGTGTTTAATAAAAATATACATAAAATATTACAAATTGATTCTATTCAAAGAAAAACTAAATATTTTGTTCAACATAGTCTGGTAAACATCCTTGCTAGTTTTCCTGCTAATTGAAAAATGTAGCACTAACTTAGTAGCATTTTGCTAATTCAAATAATTTCTCTAATGATTAACTATTCAAAATGCCTTACTTTTAAGTTTCATAAAAATTGTTATACATTAGAGAACATGTTCTGTGATTTTTACATCTGTAGGTCAAAAGTGTGATTTTTAATATAAAGAAAATTAAAGTGTCATTCACAAATCATGCCCACTTTTGCCAWTCATTACTGCATTGTTTAGAACAATTTGTGGTCCTAAGCAAGTGTAGCAGATTTGGTAGCAATTGGCATTAGCATTTTTGAGATGGTAAATGGACTGAACTTATAGAGCGCTTTATCAAGTCACTCCGGACCCCAAAGCGCTTTACACTMAAAGACATTCACCCATTCACACTCTGGCAAACTACATTGTAGCCACAGCTGCCCTGGGGCACACTGACAGAGGCGAGGTTGCCATGCACCGGCGCCACCGGACCCTCGCATTATTAGTAGACAAGGCAGGTGAAGTGTCTTGCCCAAGGGCACAACTGAAATGGCTGGACGGGGGATTGAACCGGCGACCTTCCAGTTCCAGGATGACTCCCCTAACTCCACCACAGCCGAGATATAATGATGGTGGCATATTTTAGCACCACTTAGAGTTTGGTTGATATCAAATTTTAAATGCATGCTCAGAAATTTTCATTGGAAGAGTTTGATGTATTTGTTAACATATGTGAAAAAATGTCATTTTTGGTACTGGTAACAACCTAGCTTTGTATATAAATAAACATAACTCAGTCATAAAAAAATGCAACAGCTTTTCCTTCACATTATTTGTAGAACCAATACTGCTACATGAGAAATGTCATGCTAATTGGAGTTGCGGCTTTGGAGGAGAACYATTAAGAGACCACAACAATTTTGTTGATTGAGGAGTTACAGATCAAAGTATTTTACATATTACACTAGCGCATGGTGGACTCATGCAGTTTTTTAGTATTATATAGAAGTTACTGTGCTTCATTTATGCTGTGAAAAAATGCTCAATCTCTGACATTTTAGACTCCATAACTAGTGAAATTTTTCACTTAAGGCAGTATAGGCCACACCCACTTTATTTGTGCATAATGATCTTTTAYGTTTAGGATTAGGGTGAGGGTCTAAATGTKTGTGCCAAATTTCATGAATATCCGATGAGTCATTTTTGTGTGAAATTTTTTTTGTGTTTTTTAGTGTGCAAGCTTGGACCCCTAATTATTGAAAAGGTTTCAAGCCTGAGTTCGCCAAGGGATTTTGTATTTTGGTGTTTCTGGGTGTAAATCATAGTTTTGTATATGATGTTATTTTCATAAGCCTTGTGAAGGGAAGGAAAATAACGAGGAAACATTTAAAACAGTGGAGTTTTGGTTAAAGCAACCTGGCTTGTTTTTGTACTATTACAGCTCAAGGTTTTTATCTTTGAATACCTCTTTAATATAATGCTCAAAAAGCACCAGTCAACAGGAAAATTTGGTTAAAATGTATTATTTACAACTTACAACTGTGGAAARTGGCTGAGTGTAGTACATATAAGAATGTGTGAGAGTTTAAAAAAATGGTGTTAGGCTAAATTCACTCTTGACTGCTGCCAAACTCAAACAAGGATAAGGGTCCACTGTGGCAAAGCTAGTGGGTGTCATGAAATCCTGGGTGGTTAGCTGTGGTCCAAATGTAATGAGGTGTGTGTTGTGGGCTGCACATTTATGTTAATGTGGTGTGTGCTAGAATACATTTCCTCAGTTGGAATTGTGTTGGTGCAATACTGTGTGGTTTTCAGAAGGAAGCCAGGGATTTCAYAAGTATGAAATCATCTGAGGCGGTTGTGTTTTATGGGTGCTTAACGAGCCCGTTTGTATTCATACAGGCCCCACAGAGAAAACGATCTCTAGAGCAGCTGAGAAAAAAAGAGCTCATTTAGGCCTACTGAGTGCTGCCTCAGATTTTCCACGACTCAGAGGTTAAAGAACAGCACTTTCAGCAGCCAGGATCAAATCCAAACATGTTTAAACCCACTTTTAGTCATTTGCTTATGTCAGAGATGTTTGCTAAAAGACATTTTTGGGTGCAAAGCAGTGGTTTTAATACTGACTTGTCCTTGAAGAAGCGACGGAAGCCGAAGGCCACCAGCTTGAAGACAGACTCGAAAACAAAAATAAGGGTAAAGATGTAGTTACAGATCTTCAGAGCATTATCCAGCTCCTGCAAGGAAAAACATACAAAACAGTTAAAAAGGCAACTGCATAACATTTTACTTTAAGCAACTTCATAAAAATGAGCTGTGGCACCAATAAAGTCATATTGCTTTTGAACTGAAAACAAAGTAAACAATTTCAATTCAACATTTATT